CGAGCCCATACAGCTTGGAGTAAGACAACATGCATGAAGAGGATGATGTGGACAAAATACTCATTTGCCTAATAATTCTGCACTCCCTGTATTAGGTACACCTGATAATCAAGGGTTTGAATTTTGAGGTCCCTTAAAAATATGTTTACACACCAGGTTGCTAAAATCTTCTGCTTTGTGCTTTATTAGTTAGCTCTGTAACTGTGTGTTTTTCAGTGATATTACTGTGGGGAGGACACACTAAAGCTCATTCAGATGCTCAGGAAGACTCCTGGAGGAAGATCTTGAGTTTTCTGCAGCTTCACTTGTACCATAGCCCGAGTGTTAAAGCAAAACTGTGAGAGTCACATGATGTCGAATCACTGGTGTGATATACTGACCATGGTTTCATTCTGCAACTGCTTTACTTAGATGAGTCAGGCTATGTCCACACGTACGCAGGTATTTGTTAACACTAGGATTCTGTGTCAAAAAAGCTCAAAGTGTGTTGTTGTTTCAATGCAGGCATGAAGCCATAATAATTTTATAACCATATTTCTTATTATGAACCTTGCTTGATTATGTAAGCTCATAGTGAGTACGTGTTTTCCCCCCATATCATTAGTCTAAACTGTTGCTTTAAGACCCTAAAAACACCTTTCATCCATACACAGTACTTTCAATGCCAAGAAATATTATTATATACACTACATACATACTTTCACTGATATTTTCAGTAATTTTATTCTATTTAAGACAGTGTATTATTGTCTTAATGTAATTATTTGACTAATTAACCTCAGGTGAAGCCATGGTTGCCCGCCAGACAACGAGAAAACAAGTAGCTATTGTACGTAATAGGCAGTTAAATAAAGAAAACAACAAAATACATAAAGCCGTGAGAGAAAGAACTCTTAAAGATACCTGGAAAAGAAGAGAAGATAAACAGAGACCATAGAGTCCAGCTAGCTTAAACACCAATGCTAGCAACTCAAGCCAACCAGACACATAAAAAGAAAAGTGTCAGTATGGCTCAAAGTCATGTGACACTAAAGCGGTTTGCAATACTTGATTCACCGCGATATGGATCTCTCAGCAAAGTGCAAGGATCTCCAAAACAGATTGAGATGTATGGATCTCAAAAGGAAGTGAAGGAAAGGATACGGTCAGGTTTGTGAAACAGCTACTTCAAGAATGATAGTGACGTTCCTCAATGCAGCAATAAAAGATAAGATTATAGAGCAAGCATGGAGCCAGAGACAGGTCTTCTTCCAAGATAAACGGATCTTCTTCAATCAAGACTACACTCCCAATGTAGAAAAGAAAAGAGCTAAGGTTCACGATAAAACATAAAACAACTAAAATAAAAAGAAAGTGCAGGCGAAATGTCTGTACCTGGCAGAAGTGAAAATTAAATTGGATACCACAGAGAAGACCTTTGCAACACTAACAGAGGCTGCTGAAGGAGATCGAAGTCAAAATGCGCTGCAGAGAAAGAATGGCACGGAGCTGTCAACACATTGTTAGATAGTTAAATATGTTTATTGTTTAAATAAGGGAAGCATATATTATTGTACAGAGATTATGACTTATTTACATTTTGTAAATTATAATGTAAGCAGAATCATTAACCCAATCAAGAGAAAAAATTTTCAAATGTGTATGCCCAAAATGAAGACTGCACTTTTTAAAAGGGATTGCACCTTTTGTGGCAGATAAAGGAGGAGGAATTATACTCAGGGGAGGAGATTTTAATTTGTACTCTGAAGACTAAACTAGACATATTACTGGTAATAATAAAACCTCAGTCCAAAATGACCTACTAGGCATGATGACTGAACTGGAACTGGTGGATGTCTGGTGTCATTTTCATCCTAACAACAGAAATTTTACATTCGTGTCCCAAATACATGGAAGATACACAAGGATAGTGAAGATATGCGTACCTATTTTAGAGTTTAGAAATGTGTTAGAATGTAGAATTATTGTAGAGATACTGACACTGCCCTCGATGTAATAAAGGCCTGAGTGTGTCATAAACTTAGGAGTAGATTTCTAGGAGACCCTCCCCCAGTTTGAACTGTGAAAGTGAGATAAGGAGAGGTTAATGTTGAGTGGAAATTCCTCAGGCCATGCCTGGGTGGGAGTCTCAAAGTTTGTAACTAAATAACTTTGATTTGGAAGGGAGATGGACTTTTATGACCCTCAGGAAGGCACGTACATAGAGATATACGCACATAGTGTTTTAAATGTTACGCACACACATCCACACGCACACTCACGTGCACTCACACATACACACAGGTACGCGCATACACTCACTCACGTGCACTCACATAGACATACGGGTACGCGCACACACAGGCACTCACGTGCTCGTGCACACAGACAAAGAGTTTGCAGCACACCGTGGGGGTGTTATGATGGGGTCACTTCTATAAAGCTGGCAGTAACTAACAAAGGAGTGAAGATTTTGCAGAGGGACACCGGCCTGGCAAGTCTTCCCTTCTAGAAGAATGCATGCTTAAATGAAGATGAATAAAGGTTTTGTGAAATAACTACTGAGTCCAGTGCATCTCTGGATGCTCGAAGAATGAAAAAGAACCTGGGTAAAACTGATTTCCCAACAATAGACTTTTCATGTCAAAAATCAACATGTATAGGATAAAACAGATGACAATTGAATCAATCATTGTTTCTGACCATAGCCCAGTTGTTATGAAAATGAATATAAGATCAAATGACAATTTAAAGACAAAGTAAAAAGACTAGAGAGAGAACATCAACAATATACATTTAAAAAGCTAAAAGAAGCTAGACAACAATTAGATGAGCTACTACCATACAAGGCAGAAGAGGGTCTCAGATATTAATAAAAACTGTTATTGGCCTTTCAGCTCAGAAAAGCACAGTTCCTAAGATCAGAAATCAAGAAATGAAACTCAAACTAAAGAAATATTCAATACTTATGTAAAATATTACAGACAGTTGTAAAGGAGGAAGCACAAAAACCTCGGAAACAAAAAAATTTGAGTTCCTTAAACCCCTTAAATTGGCTAAAATATCAATGATGGAATAAACTAAATTAGTAGTACCTATCACAGAAGCTGAAATAAAATAAAAGAGTCAATGCTAAATTTAAAAACAATAAATAACCCCCCATATTATGCAAAGTATATAACTCTACACTAAACTCAAGAGACGCCAAAATCATGGCTGGATGCAATTATTACAGTCATGCATAAGGAAGGAAAAGATCCTATGCATATCATACCGTTCATGGTAACACCGGTATAATGTTGGGCAACGATAAGAAAATGAAATATCGCGATAGAATATGGGTAAACGCGCATGCGCAGTGCCTTTGTTTTCATATGCACATGGCGGGAAAAGCATGGCGGCAACGGAAAATGAGGAGGGCGAAAGCAGATTGTTGAATGAAACGGATGAACCAGAATTGGTTTGTAAAAATGCTGCAACTTCAGTGGTGTGGAACTGGTTTAGCTTTCGTCCGTCAGATGCACAACAAAGCACTATTTTTGGTAGAGCATGCTAGCGGGCCGTCGTTATTACCGTGTTTTTTGGAAAATACGCCGCACTTAAAATCTGAAAATCGACAGTGTCCCTTATAATCCTGTGCGCCTTATTTATTAATTCTGGTTGTATTTACTGACCTCGAAACAATTTTATGTGGTACACGGCGCTCGAAAATCTGTCTAATGTTTCAGTCCGACTTTGCTAAGCTACGAAGCCGCACCACTTGATGGACTGTCAGAGAACCGCTTCAGGTTATTAGGAGTGCACATCATTTGAACAGTCTTTACAGGCCAAGCATATATCTCCATCTCTCTGTCTAACAGTAAGATGTCTGTGATTTATAATAATCCAGAAACTTTAAGCCGAGCATCCCGAGGACTCCAAATCCTGCTTCCCTGAGGATGCCTTTGTGTAAAGTGAAGGCTAGGAGCACGCTGGTGTTCAGTCACCTGAGCAGCATAAGAGTTCGAATGTGCTCCACAAGTCTCAGAGTGGGTCGGCTGATAGGATAGTGAGGTGGCAGCTTCACTTCAGAGCCCGACGGCATCACAGAGTATCTGCAGGACCAAAACAGATCTGAGCTGTCAGACTTTGGAGCATTTACACATTTCTTCTTTATAATAAGAAGTTAACGTGAGCACGTATGTACTTAGTGACTGTCGTGGCTGTCTTGAGCATACCTGAACTCCTCTCTGAAATGCGAGCGCAGGTGCTGAGCCAGCTGGCTGTTGTACTGCAGACAGGCCAGCAGGAGGTGGAGGCGCTGGAACAGCAGGACGGACTGAACGGGACTGGGGACCGACACTTGCAGGCCCGTCAGAACCAACACCACCTGCTGGACCTGGTAACCAATGAAGGAGAGCTGCGGGGACGGAGAGGGTCAGCGTTTGAGTAATTCTTATCATTCTGACAGAAATCACAGTTAAATCTGATGAGACCTTTACCAGGTGGGGATGAGGCTGCAGGACTCTGAGGATCCAACCGACAGACAGGAAGTTTTCAGCAGAGACACACCTGCTGGTCTGAAACACAAAGAGTTGAACAAAAACTGTTTGTTTCTTGTTATGTGGATATTCAGAGCTTTCTTGGACCATATCATAGCAAATAACAAATGTTTTAAAGCTATGCAATCTGTATATAGTAGTTGAACTGTTTAGATAAGTCTTTATTGATTAAATATACTGGTTTTTTTTATATGAACTACTGTGTACACAAGAATAAGAATAACTTAATGTATTAAGCTAAACTGGCTGACACTTTTATATTATTCTTGTGATTTCTTATTGGCCCTGTTTATTTAATGCAGGCCAGGTGACCCTTTTCTGGTTTAAAAAGGATGGCGAGCCAACAAAGGGCAGGGAGCAGGATTCTTAACACATCATTTCCCCCGTTTATGGACAATAGCGCTTGGACATTTCTCTCATCAGTGTGGACCAGTGTTTTGGAATTGGTGGTGTGTTATTTATGGGGAATATTATTGAACTTGAGAAACTGTATTGCTTGATCTAAGCTACAAGACTGTTTAGTTGTCTTTGTGCACCTTAAACTGGGCACCACTGCACCAGGAGTAATTATTTAAGTTTTTCCTTTTCTTTCCTTGTTATTTTTCCTTGGTTTTGTTTAAATACATTGTACCTGCAATAGTGTTCTGTGTTGTGTGTATTTATTGATTACTGACCATCAGCAGATTAATAATATTCTGCTTAATACCTGACGTGTATTAATTCATTAGTGCTTCATCAGTGTTACAGTTGTTTAGTTTTTGTAATTCCCAGGAGAGCCTGAGGTGTTGCATAAACACATTTTACTCACAGATGAGAAGCGCCCCCGTTGTACACTTTATCAAACTCACCACGTGGCCTACGAGCAGCAGTTCAAAGAGCAGAGAGGCGGCGGTGTCCAGATACTCAGGGAGTAAGGCCTGAAGCTGTAAGAGGCACAAGGTTTAATGCATCGAAGGCACATGAAAGACACTTGATGTGAGCAGAGAGCAGCTCACCTCTGAGTACGTCAGAAATCCTCCGCTGTGAGTTTGTGGCTGAGGGTCACATATTAAGGCAAGCAGCATTCGGGAGGCCAGAGCACCTCTGCAGGGAAACAACAGTTAATGCAGAAAAGGGAAGGTGTGCTAACATCTGGAAATGAGCTTTATAACTCTTCTCTGGGTTTCACCAGACTACAACAAAGGAAAGCAGCTCCAGCTGCAACCAAAGAAATGATAGAAAATCTCCCTGAGAATAATCACATTTATTATTTTCTCACTTTTTATTTACTATTGTTAATAGATAAACCTCACAAACACACTGGAGACACATCAGTCTATAAGCCATGAATCTGTGTACATTTCTCTCATTTTAATACAGAAAAAAAAATAAGTAAAGACTCCTCTGGAGCTCAGACTGAATTCAGTTTTTTCCATCACACTGGCATCATTATCCATCTATCGTTCAAGCCTGTATGATTCAGATTTATACCAGTTTTTACAAGAATTTTTCTTTTATAATATTTCACAAAGACACCAGTCTTCTTTTGTAACCACATCCTCTTCAAAAAGGCAGAAATCCTAAACTTCAGCAGTACGGGGAATCTCATATCTCGGCATTTTAACTTTTCCTCAGGTACTTTGGTTTCTGCACTGCCTCCAATGACTCGGACGATTTACTCCTGATATATGATTAAAAAAAACAACTGATGTTTACTCGCCACTTCTTTAGTGGATGTTATGAACTCAACCCTGAACTTCAGCCTCGTGTGATATGCCAGTGTTCTCTTCCCATTTAACTTAATGTGTCCAGTATTCATTTCATTTTGATCCTAAACCCTTCGAGTAGTTCTGTAGTCCTCTGTGTCATTGTGTATCATCACTGTGTCAGTTAGTGTATTGACTTCCTTAGATGTGGATCCCTCACTTGTAGATACATAGAAAATCTCTTTATTCCAATCTAAGCTCCTTTTAGGCCTTTACAGGAGCTGCCAACAGATATTTCAACATACCTGAAATGAGGACTGTTTAATGAAAGGAACAAACATACACCGTGTTCTGTTTACTTTTTGGCAGAGAGCAGGCTGAGTCTGGCAGCTTCGACCTCCGTCTCTCTGAACATGATGGCAAGCGTGTCAACGATCAGAGAGCTCAGTCTGAAACACAAACAGCAGAGCTTCAGTCACATGCTCATCATCATCGTCATAGCAACACACAGCAAGGAAGATATGACCTGCAGTTAGTTATTATATTGTTACTATAAATATTATCACAGTCGCAGATTCTTTCAGTGTTTTAGGTAATATTGCGGTCTTCATCCACTCACTCGGGATTTGTTCCTGAACAAACTGAATCCTGTGAATACTGCTGTTGTTGGTATAACCGCACGCAACAATAACAGGACCTGTTCTCAGTACCGATAAGTGCGAACATTAATGGGACTATAATGTAAACTTCAGCTCTTTACATGTTCTTTATTATCTACTTTATGAATGAGGAGGTGAAACTGCTTCAGGCTCGACAGGAGAAGGCAGAGAGAGGAAACCTGCCAGTGAACAGGTTAGGTTCACAGTGTGTTATGCTGTTAATGCAAACTAAGTTTAAGTTAGCTTGTTTAAAGAAAACTCAGTTTCCCTCATCTCAGGCTTCAAAAATCTGAAGTTTTCACAAAACCCACTTTCTGGAAACAGCTGTGAAATAATGCACATCATCTCTGTAATCGCCACGCTGAATACAGTCAAAGAAACACCTTAATGAATCTGAAATCTCGCCTCTGTGGAGCTATGAACACCTGCTAAGGGGCTTACAGGAGCTGATCTGCTGTGTAGAGTCCACCGAGGCTCTGGCGGCCGTGAAGACATCCCTCCAGAGTGCAGAGCAGGAAAGTACACACCTCACTGGACTGGAAAACAGAAAATGAGTCATTCACTGCAACTCACAGGCACGTTCTGTACGTCAAACACACAGTGCCGAGCAGGTTTTAGAAACTTTACCCTCCAGAAGAGCCGGCGCAGGGTAACGCTGCGGTGCGCGGCGGTCCTCAGCTCCTGCAGCAGCAGGTACATACTCTCCACGCTGCTCCCGTCCTGCAGGAGCTCGGAGCTCAGCTGGCCAAACAGGTGAGCCGTCCGCTCCCAGCTTAAATATAACATCAACATTAATACCGACGTTTGAGCCTGTTAGCAATAACAAGTTTAAATAAGCCTAAACTCGTCACAGTCCGCTGTGATGAACCTTCAGGGCTCAGATGAGGTTTCTCAGAGCAGGTCGAAATCTCTGGAAATGTTTTTATATAAATCTTTATATTGGAATATGAGTGCTACAGCTCAGCACAGCCAAGATAAAATAATATATCAGTTCATTAAAAATATTTCATGGTCTCATTATTTAAGCTCCACTCAAATGTAAACTAAACAAATGTACGTGTTTGCAAATATTAAATGTGCAGTGAAACATCTGGAGCTGATGCAAAAGAGGTGCAGTTCTCCTGAATGTGAACTTCTGCATGATTATGCGTGGCTGATGCAGGCGGCTGTAGCTGCCAGCTGTCTGATAGGCTTCACCTCAGCTAACTGCAGTCACTGAGCTGGAGCTTTGTGGGGAGCTACCATACTGTAATCTACAGCTACTCCAGGACGCCTCGGCTTCAGTCTCAGAAAGTATCCGCAGCACTAATCAGTAGAGTGGAGTCCAAAACCAGTGGGTGCCGTCACAGTGGCTATGTCCAGTGTATTCTATGAGTGAATGATTTCTGTTTCCACAGTAACAAACTGACCTGTGACCTTTATTCTGACTGGACAAGCAGGAAGTTGTGTGTCTGCAGTCTGCACAGAACAGTTTATTACCTGATGGCAGCAGCAGACAATGAAACGCAGTTCCTCCTTCTGTAGAGCGGATCTAACAAAAGGGTGGACCTCTGAACACACACACACACACACACACACACCTCAGAAATCTGAGCGAGTACACCATCAGACACATGTTTTATACTTTTTCATTTTATACTTCCTGTTTTTTCTTATTTTGTATTTTCTTTGTGTTTATGAGCCTTTCTGATCTTCTGGTTCTTGGTATTAGTTCTTTATCGTTATAACTAAACTAGTTCTCAGTGTAGTTACAGATTACTTTAGGGTGATTAGTTCCCTTTAGTGCTCCCATTCTGTCCTTTTATCTTTCTCGCCCCCCTTTCAGTTGTGCCTCACTTCCTGCTTCATTTTGATAGTTGTTCCTTGTGTTTGCTTTCAGTTTTGCTTCTTTTGTCTCATCCTCTGTGATTTAGCTCAGCTGTGTTTTGTTCTCCCAGCTATCTCCACTTCCCTCATTACCTTTCTGTGTCTGTGTGTATGTAACAAACAGCTTGCCTTTTGTTACATACAAAAGTTAATCCCTGTTTTCTGTGACTGCATTTAAAGTCCATATCATTACACAGGACACGCTCTGTATAACCTGCACACTGTGACATTTACTTATCTACTCCAAAAATCCACAGGGCACCTTTAAGCTCCACTTTCATATAAATGACCACAACATTTCTAAAGCTAACAGCCAATAAATACTATTCATAGACAGTCTTCACTCACAATACTGAAGCTGTTCCACAAGCTCTGCAGGTGGAGGTAAAGTCTGGACTTCTCTGAGACGGCGTACAGGTGGAGCTCCGCCTCCCACTCCTCTTCGCTGTCCACACAACCTCGTCTCAGCAGGCGTGACAGGACCGAACCGATCCTCCTTTGTAACTGTAACAGCACAGCGGCGGGTTCATGACAGGAAACAGAGCTCGACCAAATTTACAGAGACGTGTGACCCTTGTCTAAGTTACTTCAAATTGAATTTGAGTAGATCTTCATCGGAACAGCCGCACGTTTATACCTGACCACTCTCGAGGGTCTTCAGGCTTTTCTCTGAGAGCAATGGCGATGAGGCAGGTGAGACTAAGGGGGAGTAAAAGGGGGGAGGCTGCGGGACTCTCGTGAGGCCGAGAGTCTCTGGGTTCGGGCACGAGGCTGAGCGGGTGTGCTTTAACACTGGGGGGAGCTCCTCCTTCCTCCATTGGCTGCTGGAGAGAAGAAACAGCGCAGACATCAGGTTTCTGTGAAGTGTCTGCATCATCAACTGTGTGAGTTTCATGTCGTATTCCAGCTGCACAAAACAATTAAAAACACTTTCCTGATCAGCTAATGGTCTCGGTTGCTAGTTTGAAGTCTACCTGAACACAACACAAGGTTCATGTAGTAAATTAACGTCACACTAGAGCCAAATAAGCCTCTAAAATATGCTTTGCTTTTCAGAACTTCTTTATTGTTTTTCTGCACAAATGTTGCAGCTTAAAAACAGAAAGAGCTCTCAGGTAGATTCACACAGTCATGATAGTCGTGCTCCTGAGACTTCACGCTGTCAGCTCATCCTTAGGTTCAACTTTACAAGCAGTCTAAGGTTTGGGAGTGGCAGTGAAAGAAAAGTGTGTACGTTTAATGACCTACTGGGGGTGAGCACAGCTGAGCAGCAGGGAACATTAGCGTGAGACAGCTTTTACATTTTATGCTGTTTGCGTCTGTTTTACAGCGCTTCGTCGTTACCAGGCAACAGTTCAGTGACAGTAAATCTGTTCCTTCCTCCCTCCATCTCCTGCCTCATTCACAGAAGAACTCAAGGAGGATCGGAGCCCCGCATGCAACCAAGTAAAAATGCAAACTGTCCAGCAGCGAACCAGCAGGTCCTCTTGCTGTGGGAATTTATAAAAACGTGTTTGGAAAACACATCTCTACATTTCAATCATCAGTGGGCACATTCTGCTGAAAAAGGATAAATGATGGACCAGCAGTACCAGGTGGATGTTACCTGCTGCCTGGTGTGTGGATGAAGCACTGCAGGTGTGATATTGAGGAGCAACACTGGAGTCACTCTGTGAACATGTTAATGAGCAGCAGGTAAACTAGTCTCTGAAGTAAATAAGTCATGAGCTACCTGAGACACTGGGGTGGTCATTACATACTCAGGTAAAGTGGCTCAGCTGTTAACAAGTTCACAACAGACAACCACATTACAGTGTTGAAGTATCCCACACATAAACTTTCACTGTCTGCCTCACTCCTGCACACTCTGCAGCTTCTAAAATGATTATAACCAAATTCAACACTGGCATTACGTAATGTGTTTGCAGGGAGGACTTAAAAGCCTTTATGTGTGAGTATCCTCAAATAAAACATGCTTCTGAAGTGTGTCTGTGTTTTACTCACCTCTCTGTGGAAAATCCTGTGGAGGAAATGGAAACACAGGATGGCTAGAGTTACAGATAAAGAAACAAGACGACACATAAACCTCACTGGTGTCTTTCCAAAGGATCAAATCTCTGAAGAGACCATTCCACATGTCTCTGACTCGTCTTACAAAAAGCATAAACTTCAGTCTGATATCATTGCGTAGCATCATCAAATTACATAAACTGTCTCAGTTACCTTGTAATGTGCTTGTTATTTCAGGACAGTGGCTGTTTCGGCGAGAGGACGGGGCTGCAGGAGGAAGGCCCTCTTTCTTGGCTCTCTTTAACCAAGTGCGTTGCTTCGCTGCAGGTTTTTTGGTGACGTAGACGATCCGTATGTGTTGGCAGCGTTCCTGATGCTTCCCACTGAGGAAATCTGGGATGTCGTTCACCTGTAAAAAAAACACAATGCTGTAAAGATTATAAAATGTGACAATATGAGGGAGCAGAATCAGAAATAAGACAAAACCAAGCGGTGTAGAAACGAGTCGACAGAAAACTGACATTAGCTCATCGATTCTAATGATTGACTATTTTTAAAGCAGATTTTGGTTTTGTAGAAACTATTAATCAAACTATTAATAAAAAGATGAATCTATACATTATCATGAGTTTCAGCCCTTAAAATAAAATCGGATATTTACAGAATAACAAGATTAAATAAAGATAATGTTTATATTTTGTGCCATATACAACCTTTGAACATATATACTGTGCACTTATAGTGGGTATTCTCACATCTTTCATGGATATTGATCATCTGCTGTAGACTGATTTTGATCCTGTGTGTAATAAAAGGATGTAGGATAATCCCACACTACTTCAGTAATCTTGAGGTCCGGGCACTGGGGGGTCCGATCCATGACTGATATCACTCTACTGTGTGTTTTTCCCTCCTGACAACATCTCATCTCTCCCTCAGATCTGGTTCAACAATTTTCAGTCGTTCTTGTGTCATTTTAATAATCAACCTTTTCTCTGTTTCCCTTCCTTAAGAACAGCTTCTTGACAGCCGCTCTTCCACTGAGACCTTTTCTGATGAGGCTTCAGTGATCAGCAGCTGATCAGCTGAAGGTCCTCCTCTCATATTTTTCATGGATATTGATCATCTGGTAAAGATAGATTTTAAATCTAAGTTTTCAGCTAGCAGATCTTTGTGAATAATGTTGTTGTTGTAAAAATATTATTTTGTGCCTGTGAAACTGTGTCATCTTTGGCAACTTAATGACAGAAAGAATGATTGTGTTTTTTATGACACACTGCTGTTGTCATAAAATAGTAAACTGGTTCTTTGCTAATATTCTGTTATGTGTGGAGACAACACTGGTTCATCTGAGTTAAGATCCTTTTTTATGCTTGGATCATAGTTACTTTGAAAGCCTGGAGAAGTATTGCTAAAGAGCACTTTAAAAAACAGCCGAAACATCTATAAAATACAAAGAAATCAAAAACTTCTGGATTGTATTTTGTCAGATTTTATTTTGTTGAGTGACTCTAATTTATTTAACTGCTTTTTCAATGTTGCATTGAATATGTTGGCGACTGCTTTGTCACGGGAACTTGAATAAAGCACGTCTCATCTTCTGAGCGGCTTTAATTTTGCGTTTGCCAAAGATCGCGTTACAAAAGACCTGATTTCTGTTTGTTACAGTGAGCAGGTTCGAGTCCCAGTAAGTTTCCATGAGCTCCCAGTGTTCTGAAGATCCTCCACAAAGTGGCTAAAGGGTGGTGCTGAGGCCATGGAGAGGCCAGCACAGGTCATCAGGTGGTAATCTTAGAGTTAATGCAGATGGGATTAACTCTGTTAGGGCCGAGTTAAACCTCTGACATAACGAGATGAAGTTAGAGGCTCGGCGTGACTTTTGCTGCATGTATTGCAGCTCTGTATTATGTGGCATTGGAACTATTTTAAGCTTTTAAAGTTAAATTAAAATCTGAGGATAACAGCTTCCTCATTAACGGTTTGTCTGTGCTGTTTCTACTGCTCTTTGGCAGGTTGATATACATGAAGTACTTGAAACGGTCACATGGACAGCCCTAACAATAAGTACATACCAACATTACTGACAGCTGTTAATCATACCTGAGTCCTGCTCCGTGATTGGTTTCCAGGCTTCCTGCAACTCAGGTGCTCTGAGGCTCAGTGCAGCTCAGTATGAGCAGACATGAAATATGCAAACCAGAGCAGGTGTTACGCTCTTGTTCTCGCCATCAGCAGTAAAGGTGAGAAGTGAAACCTATAAATCGAACTAACTCGTGTGTAATCTGAAGAGTTTAACAGGGATTAATCAGCAGAAGCCGGTTAGTCAGTGAACGCACCATGTGACATGCATGTAATCTAACGTGCTTTAGTCGTGGTTTGGCTGTCACTCAAGGTTATGTCAGTTAAGTCTCCAAAAACCTAAACTTATTCAGTTTACTGTCAAATTAGACAGAAAAAATTGAGCTTTAACATATTCTGCTAATAGAACTAGCTCTAAAGATCCACTAATTACCTCATTGGGTTCAGCTTTAAAGATGTCACAAGTCAAAAATAATAGAAATCTATGGGGTCCTAATTATAAACTGCAAACTTCATCCATATTTATCTCTAAATGTTCTTTAAAAATCTGGAGCTTGGTTTTAAACCTAAGCGTGAAGACTTAAACGTCAATATCAAGTTCAGATTTAAAGTCTGACTGTAAATTCTCATCTTTACGGCTCTGGTCAGAAAAAAGCTAGACGAAAGGCCAGAGCCATTTAAATGTGTGTGATGCTTCTTCAGCCCTAGCTCTCAGCCGAACTTCACTGCAGGAATATCAACCAAAGTGCAAACAGGTCACAACCCTTTGGGCTTTGTTTTGCTGTCTTCTCTGGTTTGTTCACAGTTTAGGTTTCAAAGATAACTGAGATTTTCCTTGACTCAACATCCACTCTGTGATGTCAGTCTGGAGATTATTTCGTCTTGATGCATTCTCAATCATCCAGGTAAGTTAATCTCCAAAGGTTGATTCTGTTCATCTGGACGTAGCGTTTTCAGTGGGAGAAACGTTTCGTCACTCATCCAAGTGACTTCTTCAGTCGACTGAAGAAATCACTTGGATGAGCAGAATCAACCATTGGAGATCTGGTGAATATTTGTAAAAGAAATACAGATATTTTCTTCTACAGCCACTTCAAAATGTAGGCCTTGTCTTGTCCTCTTTCACCTGATGTGATACACGTTGCAGTTTTGACACAAATCCCTTCAGAACACATCCTGTAGACTCATTACAACACAGCTTCCAAATGCAATGTTAGGATTTAACTATTAAAGTTTTCGAGCCTTTACTGAACAAACGAGACATGAACACTTCACAGTATGCCTATTTTCTCGATTCATTGATAGATATTTGGTCTGCACAACAATATCCATGACAGACATTAAAACAGTCACGTCATCATTTAAGATAAAAATACTGGAAATGAGTGCTTTAACTCTGTACTGTTTCTTTTAAAAGTTTACTTTTATTTACCTTAAAAATAACTTACCTTAAACGCCAATTTAATAGAAAATCCAATAAATATGGTAGAAGGTTTTTCTGTTGATTTTATATCAATATTAAAAATACATATTTTTTTTTAGCATTTATTGAAAAAACCCGACGTCTTAGGTCTTCACAGTATTTACACTTATTTTCTCCAATAATAACAAATATCTATCGGCAAAATACTAATTTTTTTTTTCAAAATATCGTATCTTACTTTATTAAAATCAGGTTATAACAGGTCATGTTCAGATTTTTTGTTTGTTTTTTCGTTTAATAAAATCAGCTTTTGGATTTTGTGTCGGTTAATTAGGGCGGGATTAATGCAGTAGAAACAAAAATAAATACTTTTTTAAATCACTTTTTCTGTTCAAACTCACCAGCTCGATGTAACGCACGCGCCTGAAGCTAACGGCTGCCGTGAGAGTGCGTGGCGAGTACTCGGTGAGGTACACGCACTCGTCGCTGAGCACCACGTGCATGTACACCTTGTTGATGGACTCGGACAGCACCACGCACGGCTCGTAAGCCCGGATCCGTTCGTACACCCTCCGCTCCAGCTTCCGCTGCAGGAACGAGTCCAGCCGCGCGTTCCGCCGGCACAGCAGCGACCAGGAGCCACTGTGGGCCATGACGGGACCGCTCCGTGGAGCTGCTGGTAACACCTCTGAGATTTCAACCGCCGCTTTGTCGCGAGGCAGGTGCTCACAGGTCCAGCTCCATCCGGTACGTTTGAAAAGTCGAGTTAAGATGAACACACGCCGCTGGTTCTGTCCCGGTTCTGGACAGTGAGCTGTAGGTAAAGCGCCAATGACTCGAGCCGTCAGTGCGTCTGCTCTCTGATTGGTCAGCGAAGAGGAGCGGAACATTGCTGATTGGCCAAACGCAATAATTATGTAGTAATTACTGTACTTAAATAATATATGTCATGATTAAATAAATAAGTATATATATATATGTTTTACTGAGCCGTCTGAGTGAATAAATAATGATGCACATGAAGCGTGTCGCTCCCAGTGAAGGGATGGAAACTTACTGGGGCTCGAACCTGCTCACTGTACCTCTTTTTATATGTTTTATACAAATAATGGTTTGATATGGAATTAAACCTCATTTTATATTTAACATTAGTTATTAATTAAATGATTCTGTTTATTCATAATATTTTGGGGGAATATTTGTTAATTTCTCATATTTTATTTGCTTAAAATAGATTACAGGTTGCAGTTTTATGAATTTCTTGTGATGGATATTAGCCTATAAATTAGATTGTTGTAATTTAATAGCATTATAAAAAACATACAGTCTGCGTTAAACCTTTTGAATGATAATAAAATATTTTTTCTTTTAATTTCGATGTTGTTGCACTTTCTGACTCTTACCACTAAGAGACGGCAGACTGCAGATTATCACAGTTTCTTCCTGTCTCTCTAACACGGTTCAGTGAAGAATAAATCTTTGTGCTGCTGCTGACAGATTGCGTCTGTGTGAAGCATGAAAAATGCTGAAAATGTGGCATTGTCTCCTTCATCCTCCTTGTCCTCCTCATCTTCCTCGGGATGACCGTTTCAAGCGCAAAGGCGGTTTGAAGGGAAGTTTTGTAACGGGATGAAAATATTAACGGAGGACCACACACACACACACACACACACACACACACACACACACACACACACACACACACACACACACACACACACACACACACAACATGAAGGTTGTTGTTCTTGCAGTGTTGTTTCAGAGTCAATCTTTCTCACTCAAAGAGGTTTGGTAAAGATTCAAATTCATCTTAATCTGCTGTTTGATTCTGTCTTAAAAAAAATTCTAAATTTTGTGTTTTCAGCATCCTCAACTCTGAATAGACTCCAAAACACCACAAAAAAGTGAATGTTTATAAAGACTAAATCATAAAAATGATGCCCTTTCTCTTGTTGGGTTACAGCTGTCACTGCTTGCAGTTTTAGTTTACTGGTCCTTGTGAGCCGATCAGTACTGTACTCCTTTATCACCATCAGCACCATCTTCCTCACCATCACTGTGTCTGTGTGCAGCTGCAAAGAGCAGCGGTGGGCTGACAGTGCACACTACCGTCTTTGTTCTGCAGAAGAAGTAAACACTTTGCCAGCAGACAGAGGGAGAATATAGCCTCATGACAAACACACACACACACACTGGATTTGGTTGGTTATGACCTTTGTGGCATTTTGAAAGTATCAAGGATTGTAACATCTAGTCATTTTACTGAATCAAAAGGAGATGCTGGAGTTTCATGAGTTTGTGTTTGTCATTTAAATTCAGTCTTGCTTAATACACAACATTCAAATTACTGTCACCTTACAGTAATCCTGATACTTGTACTTGATGTGTTCAGTTTAGTTATTTGCACTCGCGTTCAAACTACTTCCAGTCTTCTTCTTCTTCTGGCGTTGTTACAGCGGATGATCTGCCTCCATCTCCTCCTATCCCAGCATCCTTCTTCTGCCCAGCAGTTCTATCTTCATCATCCTTCCTCCAGTATTCTCTCCCTCGTCTGCATATGTGCAAACCATCTCAGGCTCTCTGACTCCAAGCTGTCCCCCTGTCCTCCACTTGCTTCCAGTGAATATCTGAACATGTTCAGCTTGGCCTCCAAACCAACATCACAGCAGAGGGTTAAGGTTTAATTAATAACTACTAGTTAGCACCTCCACCCTGCCAGCAATCTCTTCTTCTTGTGCACTCTGTTGCTTTGGATGGTGACTTTCATTCCTCTTCTCTGCAGAGCATCCTTCCACTTCTCCAGGTTCTCCTCCACCTGCTCCTTACTCTGGCTGCAGATCAAAGTTTCATCTGCATCTGTATTCTCTAGATGTTTGCAGATCTCCAGTAAATTGCCCAAATTGCTCAGAAATGTAAATTTTTACAGTTGCAGCATTAACAGACACCCCAGAGTAGCTTTTCGAAAGGCAAGTGTAAACAGACTCACACGGCTTACAGTCAAACATTTGAATGTTTGAACTCTGATTTTGATTCACGGTTTTAATAAATATGAGAGAGCACAGTGTTTATTTCTGACTGTGGTATTTCAGTTTCTGAGGCTGTTCTCTGTAGATTTGACGGAAACGGGATTTTTGTTAGACTTGTGGTTTCGTTTTTAATAGATCTGGAGAATTGTTTTATTCAGAAGTTTGATGTTCGGTCCTGTGATGAACAAAAGTCCAAACAAAAGACAAAGACGTACAGAGATCTCTCTCTCTCTCTCTCTGTGGGTGTCCAGCAGTCGATGGTCTGTTTCCTCCCAGCAGCAGCTGATCTGATCGGAGGCTGTCTGAACTGAGACGAGCAGAGCCGAGCAAACGGCGACAGGTCGACAGCAGGAACCACGAACATCACTGAGCGAGAAATAGGAGATAATTTCAAGACTGAATTAGTCCGAACACGGCTGAACACTCCGCAGGGATGACGGCTCTAACTAGCTGGGAGCTGTGCGTAAAGTACGCGCTCTTCATCTTCAACTTCGTCTTCTGGGTAAGTTTAAACACGCGGGATGAAATATTTAAAGCTCCAGCCGCCCGTGTTTATTCATTTGCGCACAGAAATAAGTCTTCATCTCTCAAATTTGAGCCTGGAAAGATGAAAATGTATTTTTGTGTGATGTGATTTGTGTTTAACAGAGATGAACCGAGGAGCGTCTTGTTTTGATTTAGCCTATGGCATTTTGAACACTAGTGTGTTTTGTTTAAAGTCGTTCCGGTTTGTGTGTGCTCTTTTATATGAAGCTGATAATATTAATTTTGTGTTTGTGTAACTATCCACTTCGCATTTTTCTGTTTTCTTGTTTCTGACATTCTGGGATGCTGTTGCAGCAGCTGTAGACAGCTGACAAATTAAAGGAAAACCCCACGGAAAGCGTCAATAAAGTGCAGACACACGACAAACCACCGGAACAGCTTCGGTGTTCCTCAGAGTACTAAACAGCCTGCTAGTTGATGGTGTTCATTTCTGGTGACTTTAAAGTTTCGTTGGTTTTGCAGTAGTTCAGAAATCCAGTAGGGGGCGTAGATGAGCCTAACACGTCATTCAAAGACAGAGCGGTTGCCTAATCAGTGCTTTCACCTCCTACTCAGGTGTCCTGTGCAGCGAGGAAGCTTAAGGCAGTCTGAAGGATGGCTCCTTAAAAGTCTGAATGATTTCTCAGGGCAGAGGTCAAAGGGTCGAAGGGCCAGCCTCGGGTCCACACCTCCACCTCAGGAATGTAAAACACTCCTTTACATGTTAAAAGTCCTGATGTACATTTTAAATTCATCCATCAGTTCAAAGAAATAACTTCTTTTTTATTATTAAAATGAAAAAACTCTCACAAATCTTATCGTTTTTTAAAACGTATTTTTACTACCACACTACAAACTCATATTGAAAATGAAAAAAGAAAAGGTTAAAAATCTGAAATAAATCAACCATCCATCAACCATCTTCTAATCTAGCTATCCATCTCAGGGTCTGAAAAGCAGGGTACACCCTGGACTATATGAACTGAGTTAAAGGGAATCAAATGTCTGATTTGTTCCATATGGGACATTAAAGTGGAATATTAAGTGCTTCCTTATTGACTCTGGTAAGCTATTGTTGATAAGCTTCATATCATTCAGCACAGGACAGATGGGGATTATTTTGAACTGTGAATCATCCAAAGCTCTTCTGATGGAGTCTACGAATAAAAACATGGAGCTGAAAATGAGCAGAACAAATCTTTTTAAGGATTAAATTATTTGTACCAGTTTTTTCACTCATTTATGTCGAGCTGCTCACTCACTTTCTCTGATTAATGATCGAGTTCAGTCAAGCCATCAGAGTTTGAGCTCAACAAACAACAGCAGCTTATCACTAAAGACATCCTTAGAGAGAACGAGAGTGACGAACAAAAGACAGGCGGGGAGAGATAACGGAGGCCGACAACAAAGCCGGCGTTGTTGGTTTCACTGGGTCCACTGGGAGCCGATGCAGCGTTGAGTTACTGCAGCAAACAATGAGTCTCCCAAGAGGTGTGAGGATACACCTGTGGAGTTTTTGTTTGTGATTCCTCTGAAACAGCTCGTCTTTTTTTTTTTAATCTGTTTTTAAAGCCAAACGCAGGAGTATGGAGGTAAAACTGACAGCATGAGTCCAGCTGTGCAGCACAGAGGTTAAACTGGAAGAGTGTTTTTATCTTAAAAACAGCACTCAACATGTTTGTTTCTCTTTGTTTCTTTTCAATCAAAGAGCATGCTTTTAAAATGCTTTATTCCAATTAGAATCAGTTACGGCTAAGCAAGTCCCAGAAACTGCAGTCCTCTAGCATCCACTGGAGGCCCTATAGAGTGAGGCAGTTTCCACAGACTCCAGTATTAAACTGCCCAACTTATCTGAGATCCCCATGTTGGCATTATTCCTGCATTGCAATAACGTGATTAAACTGCTGTGATATTATAGCTTTGAAATGTGAGGGACGAGAGAAAGAAGTGCCTTTGTTTACATAAACCCCTTCTGAAACAAACGCTAAGCATTTCAAGTGTTTCCTTTATTGATTTATATAATATAATAAATATATTATCAAGTTGGGTTTTTTTGGGGTTTTTTTGTTACTCATGTTGGTTTGCTAGAGATAGTTTTTAATAGCATGAGCCAAATTCTGGGCTAATTGTAATTGAATGCTGAGACAATGTGATTGGTTAGCTGCAGCATCACCAACATTATTGTGATGATATAGTAGGATGACCAACTGTCCTCTTTTTTTGCACACGCTGACTTCTAAAAGCTTATATGACATATTTTTATTTCACCA